TAACTTTTACAAAAATCTTCTCCTCTGAAACTCCTGGGCCAAATTTGGCCTAAATCATCCTTAAGGTATTAAGTTTAAAAAATGTATCTAATGATTCCGCCCACCAACCAAGATGGCCGCCATGACTAAAAATAGAACAAGGGTGTAAAATGCAGTTTTTGGCTTATATTTCTGGTCAAAATTTATCTGCCCTGAAATTTTCAGACGAATCAGACAACCCCTTGTTGGGTTACTGCCCCTGAATTGGTAATTTAAGTAAATTTTGCAGTTTTTATACGACCGCAAAAATTAAAATTTTTTGGTCGTATATTGGTTTGATGTTGGCGTCGTCGTCGTCGTCGTCGTCCAAAGACACGTTGGTTTTCGCACTCTAACTTTAGTTTAAGTGAATGGATCTCAATGAAATTTTACCATAAGGTTCAATACCACAAAAGGAAGGTTGGGATTGATTTTGGGGGTTATGGAACCAACAGTTAAGAAATTAGGGGCCAAAAAGGGGCCAAAAATAAGCATTTTTGTAACTTCCAGCCATAACTTGTGTGTTAGTGTATGGATCTCTCTGACATTGTACCACAAGGTTCCATATCACAAAGGGAATGCTGGGATTGATTTTGGGGGTAATTGCCTCAAAATTTTAGGAATTAGGGGCCAAAAAAGGGGCAAAAAACAAGCATTTTTCTAGTTTCATGATAATAACTTGTTTGCAAGTGTATGGATCTTTCTGAAATTGAGCTACAAGGTTCCATATCACAAAGGGATAGCTGGAATTGAGTTTGGGGGTAATCGCCCAAAACGTTTAGGAATAAGGGGCCAAAAATAGCATTTTTCTGGTTTCCAGACAATTACTTGTGTTCAAGTGTATGGATCACTCTGAAATTGTACTGCAAGGTACCATACCACAAAGGGAAGGCTGGTATTTTTTTGGGGAGTAATTGCCTCAAAATTTTAGGAATTAGGGGCCAAAAAGGGAAAAAAACAAGCATTTTTCTAGTTTCAGGACAATAACTTGTGTGTAAGTGTATGGATCTTTATGAAATTGTACTACAAGGTTCCATATCACAAGCGGAAAGCTGGGTTTGAGTTTGGGGGTAATTGCCCTAAACGTTTAGGAATTTGGGGCCAAAAAGGGGCCTAAAAACAAGCATTTTTCTAGTTTCCAGACAATAACTTGTGTTCAAGTGTATGGATCTCTCTGAAATTGTACTGCAAGGTACCATACCACAAAGGGAAGGCTGTGATTGAGTTTGGGGGTGATGAATCATAAGGGGGTTCAAAAAATTTAGGGGAGGGATTTTTTTTTCTTTAAAATTTTTCATTTTATAGATGGGTTATTTCTGATTTATATATAAAAGCAAATGATAATGATATGGTTTGAATAGGTAAATTAAAATTTTTTAAGTTCTTAGACCACATTCATTCTGTGTCAGAAACCTATGCTGTGTCAAATATTTAATCACAATCCAAATTCAGTGCTGTATCAAGCTTGAATGTTGTGTCCATACTTGCCCCAACTGTTCAGGGTTCGACCTCTGCGGTCGTATCAAGCTGCGCCCAGCCGAGCATTTTATTGATTATTATCTTGAATATTATTATAGATAGAGATAAACTGTAAACAGCAAAAATGTTCAGCAAAGTAACTTATTACCCTTTCAAGTCAATTTTTCACAATTTTTCGTAAATTTTCGTAATCTTTTTCAAAAATCTTCTCTTAATCTATTTGGCTAAATGGAATTAAACTTAGCCACAATTATTATTAGAGTATCATGATTAAAAAATGTATGTAATGACCCTGCCCTACAACCAACATGGTCACCATGGGTGAAAATGGAATATTGGTGTTTACTATAGAAGTCTATCGGAAAAATGTATAAAAAAAACAATTTCAAATGGTCACAACTTGAAAATTTATTTAAATAATGATAAGGGGTCTTCAGTAACTATTGTAAGAATGCAATGGGATGACTTGATTTTTTATGCCCCGGCCGTAGAGGAGGAGGCATTAAGTTTTACCCTTGTCCGTCTGTACGTCTGTACGTACGTACGTCCCAAAATTGGTTTCCGTTCTCTAATTTTAGTTTTCCTCGACCAAATGTTATGAAACTTATGTACAATGCAAATTACCACAATACACAGATCGAGTTTGAATTTTGCTGGCATCACTTTTACCGTTTTAGAGTTATGTCCCTTTACAAGTCTCAAAACTGCTGAAATATTTGTTTCTGTAATGTTCTCTAACTTTAGTTTGCCTCAACCAAAAGTTATGAAACTTATGCACAATGCTAATTACCACAAAACACAAAAAAGATTGAATTTTTTCTCATGTGGGGGTGCAATTTTTTTCAAGGGGTGGTGGGTTGCTAATAATTATATCATAAAAACCATAGTTATATCTTTTCTTTCAGCATACTTAAAAAATGTATATTGGGTAAATGCCCCCCAGACCAGACAGGTTAGTCGGGGTTAAGACCCATGTCCAAATTATTTTTGAAGGGTGTTAAAAAAAACATGTAAAGGCATTTCCAGCGTTATTATACAGGCCCTGGGTGAAATAAATTTTGGAGCGGAGGAAAGGAAATTTTGCATTTTTTGTTAATTATCTTGAATACCCGCCTCGGAGTGCCAGATTTTGTATTGAAAAAGTAATGTGTAATGTAATGCATTACACAGGCAAAGTAATTGTAATGTAATGCATTACATGTGAGAAAAATGTAATTGTAATTGTAATGGAAGAATCACAAAGTAATTGTAATGTAATGCATTACATTGCAATGTAATGGCCCCAGGCCTGGCCTCTAGTTTGTTTAAGTCTGGGAAGATGCATGAGCAATGCCTTATGGATAACATTCATCTGATTCAAACAATAACCAATCAATCAAGCAGTCATAAATTTATTAAAATGTTTCTGAATATCCACAAAATAAAGGGAAGTCATTTTCAAATGAATTATGTGTTTGATGATTCGTTGAGTCTGAAAAGAAGTTGGTAAGGCTATTTTATCAATTTTAAATAAATGAGGAATATTTTGAGTTTTGGACAAATAAATTGGTAAATAACTTAATTCATAATATTAATTATTAAGATCCTTTTTATTGTCGAGCCTGCGACTTTTGTCGCAGAAAGCTCGACATAGGGATAGTGATCCGGCGGCGGCGGCGTTAGCTAACTTCTTAAAAGCTTTATATTTTAGAAGGTGGAAGACCTGGATGCTTCATACTTTGTATATGGATGCCTCATGTTACGAAGTTTCTGTTAGTCACATGTCCAATGTCCTTGACCTCATTTTCATGGTTCAGTGACTACTTGAAAAAAAAGTTAAGATTTTTTGTAATGTTAAATTCTCTCTTATTATAAGTAATAGGATAACTATATTTGGTATGTGCGTACCTTGCAAGGTCTTCATGTCCGTCAGACAGTTTTCACTTGACCTCGACCTCATTTCATGGATCAGTGAACAAGGATAAGTTTTGGTGGTCAAGTCCATATCTCAGACTCAGATACTATAAGCAATAGGTCTAGTATATTCGGTGTATGGAAGGACTGTAAGGTGTACATGTCCAACTGGCAGGTGTCATCTGACCTTGACCTCATTTTCATGGTTCAGTGGTTATAGTTAAGTTTTTGTGTTTTGGTCTGTTTTTCTTATACTGTATGCAATAGGTCTACTATATTTGGTGTATGGAACGATTGTTAGGTGTACATGTCTAGCTGGCAGGTGTCATCTGACCTTGACCTCATTTTCATGGTTCAGTGGTCAAAGTTAAATTTTTGAGTTTTGGTCTTTTTTTCTAATATTATATGCAATAGTTCAACTATATTTGGTGTATGGAAATATTTTTTGATCTATATGTCAATCACGGAGGTTTTATTTGACCTTGACCTCATTTTCAAGGTTCATTGCTCAGTGTTAAGTTTTTGTGTTTTGGTCTGTTTTTCTTAAACTATAAGCAATAGGTCAACTATATTTGTTGTATGGAAGAATTGTTAGCTGTACATGCCTGCCTAGCATGGTTCATCTGACCTTGACCTCATTTTCATGGTTCATAAGTCAATGTTTAGTTTACTTGGTTAATGTTAAATTTAATGTGACAGTTGTAATAAAGCTTTATATTTAGGACTTTCAACATAATATCAATGATTAGTAAAGAAGGCGAGACATTTCAGCGTGTGCACTCTTGTTCAAAAGATGTTTCTTCCTTAAATATTCATAATAAAATTGCCTTTCTGAATATCTATTGACTTTCGACTGCATGTAATATAAACTGATTTAAGCAACATGTAAACATTGCTTTTTATCAATGGGAACGTAGTAGTGTTTAGTTTACGTTTTACGTTTAGGACACTAATACCAGACCAAGTTTAGCTTAATGTGGACATGGCCTAAGAAATATTGCTTTAATTGATCACAGGATCACTGAAAAAAAACCCTGATGTAAGATAAAAAAACACACAATGTCCAGTAAACTTGAGTTCTGTTTGTCAAATGTTCGAATAAGTATCCAATAAGTTGATTTAAGTATATTATATAGGTTCATTGTTTTACTGTCAATATAAAAATAAGAAAATGTGGTATGATTGCCAATGAGACAACTCTCCACCAGAGACCAAATGACATATAGGTAAGCAACTGTATGTATATATACATTCAACAATTTACAAAATCCATGCAGCACAGCAAGTTATAAATGGCCCAAATGTAGTACAATTCAAACAAGAAAACTAAACGGTCTGATTTATGTACAAAACAAAAAAATGAAAACAAATATGATATATAGCAACAAATGACACCCACTGAATTGCAGGCTCCTGACTTGAGACTAGGCACATACAGAATGTTGCAGAGTTTAATAAGTTTGCCGGCGCCCAACTCTACCCTAACGTAGGCTAGAGGTATAACGGCACAACATAAGAACAAAATATAAAAATCAGATCGATACCAAGCACAAAAACAAATAACAAAAACTCACAAGACACAAAGTTCACTGTTTCTTTTCTAATTTCAGGAGTTTTTCCTTCTTTTATTGAGAGAAATTTTAGATCCTAAATATGGAATGTTTAAATTTTATGAAGAATCAAGAGTCGATTGGTTTAACTCAAATGTAAGTACATGTATATAAAAAAAAAAGTTTGTAATTTAAAAAAAAGTATTTTTTAGTTGATAAGAATATCGAAAAGTTTATTTAGCTGTATTGTAGAAATATTTTAAAGAACCAATGTTTGAATTTTTAAACAGAAAAATAAAAAATCGAAAATTGGAAGACTCATCTAGTACATGTACGTTCTACTTAGCTAAGAGACTTAATTATAAAATACTTGAATGAAATTTGAAATAAATAAACATTTTTTTTTTCCAAAAAATTTTAGTCTTGGAAATTTCAGTGATTTTGGAATGAAATCATGACTCAAATTTATTTCTGAAAAAAGGATTTATAATGATTAATTTCATAACAAAAAATAACACTTACAAATGAACACATACAAATAAAATGTATTTTAAAACTGTTTGATAAAAAAGGGATGGAAATACAAAACTATTATGAGGAGAAAATCCCAAACTATGTTTTGATCAACTGAAACCGACTTAACTGAAAAAGTATAATTTGATGTTAATTGAAAAAAATCTTCAAAATTTTATGATGTATATCTAATATGAATATCAATCCTTCCACAAAAGTCACTGAATTTACAATCCGTCGGCAACATACACAATTTGTATAAAGCTTTATATTGCAAAGGGTAAATAAAAGACCTGGATGCTACATACCTTGTACCCAGATGCCTTATGATACAAATTGTCCTTGACCTCATTTTCTCTGCTTTAAAAAATTGTATAGTTTTTTTGTCTCGCCTTATGCGAGACATAGGGATTACTTTCTGGCGGCTGCAGCGGGGGCCGCGTTAACTATTTGTATAAAGCTTTATATTTCAGAAGGTAGAAGACCTGGATGCTTCATACCTTGTATGCAGATACCTTATGTTACGAAGTTTGAATCTGTCATATGTCCATTGTCCTTGACCTCATTTTCATGGTTCATGTGAATTTCTCACTTATTATGAGTATAAGGATAACTATATTTGGTATATGGGTTGCTTACAACGTCTACATGTCTGTCAGACAGGGTTCACCTGACCTCGACCCCATTTCATGGATCAGTGATCAAGGTTAAAGTTAAGTGATTGGGTCCGTTTCTCATATACTATAAGCAGTAGGTCAACTATATGTGGTGTATGGAATGATTATAAGGGTTACATGTCAGACTGGCAGGTTTCATTTGACCTTGACCCCATTTTCATGGTTTATTGGTCAATGTTAAGTTTTGGTGTTTTTGTCTGTTTTTCAAATACTATAAGCAATAGGTCAATTGTATTTGCTGTATGGAATGATTGTAACATGTATATGTCAGTCTAGCCGGTATCATCTGACCTTGACCTCATTTTCATGGTCCATTGGTCAATGTTAAGTTTTTATACGACCGCAAAAAATTTGTGGTCATTTATTGGTATCACGTCGTCGTCGTCGCCGTAGTCAGCGTCGTCCGAAGATATTTGGTTTCCGGACAATAACTTTAGTAAATAAAAATAGAATTTATGAAGTTTTAACACAAGGTTTATAATCACAAATGGAAGGTTGGGATTGATTTTGGGGGTTACAGTCCTAACAGTTTAGGAATTAGGGGCCAAAAAGGGGCCCAAATAAGCATTTTTCTATTTTCCAGACAATAACTTGTGGAACAGTGTATGGATCTCTCTGAAATTATACCACAAAGGGATGGTTAGGATTGGCTTTGGGGGGTTCTGGCTCAAACCGTTTAGGAATTAGGGGCAAAAAAGGGGGAAAACAAGGGTTTCCTGGTTAATGGACAATTAAAAAAAAAGTACAATGTTATGTTTGGATTACCTCCCTTAACATGCTTTTAAATTATGTATACAGAAATGTTGTATTGTCTTGAGGTGATTAGCTGTCAATTTATTTTTGGAGTTACTATTTAAAAATGCTGATTAAGGAATATTAATTTTAGCCATGATTTTGTATGTCATTTTCTATTTTAAGACTTTTATGATGTATTTAAATGGGTAATTATGGTTGCAAACTCCATTTTGAATTGAGATTATGACCATATCTTGAGGGAAAGAATTTTTTTTTTTGGAAAAAGGGGGGAGGAGGTAAAAAAAATTGGGAAGGGGGGGGGTAAAAAAGAAATTGTGAGGGGGGGGGACAATTTTTTCTCATTTAAGATTTCAGAAATTAAAAAGAAAATTCCTTCAAATATTTTTTTTTTGCAAAAAAAAAGGGAGAGGGGAATTTTTTTATTGGGGGGGGGGGGTCAATTCACAACAGCATAGTGTATTGCACAAAGCAAAAATCTACCTATAAAATCAAATCATATAACCAATTCTAAGTTCTTTGACTACAGTTATTCTGTGTCAGAAACCTAATATGTGTCAAATATTTAATTACAATCCCAATTCAGACCTGTATCAAGCGCGAATATTGTTTGAGGTTTTTACCATGTATTACTATATTGGATATTTGGACATTTTTAAATAGGTCTACATTGAGGTCCAAAGGGTCCAAAATTAGACTTTGTTCGATTTCATCAAAAACTGAATTCTTGTGGTTCTATGATATGCTGAATCTAACTGTGCATTCAGATTTTTTATTTTGGGCCCTGTTTTCAAATTAGTCCATATTAAGGTCCCAAGAGTCCAAATTTAAACTGTGTTTTTATGCCCCCGCCGTTTTCTAACTTTATTTTGCCTCAACCAAATGTTATGGAACTTATACACAATGCTTATAACCATAAAACACAGATCAAGTTTGAATTTTGGTGGCGTCACTTTAACCGTTCTAGAGTTATGCTCCTTTATAAATGGAAAAATTGCAAAATTTTTAGTTTCCTTTCTCTAACTTAAGTTTACCTCAACCAAATGTTATGAAACTTATACACAATGCTTATTGCCACAAAACACAGATCAAGTTTGAATTTTGGTGGCGTCACTTTAACCTTCTAGAGTTATGCCCCTTTATAAATGGAAAAATTGCAAACTTTTTAGTTTCCGTTCTCTAACTTAAGTTTGCCTCAAACAAATGTTATGAAACTTATACACAATGCTTATTACCACAAAACACAGATCAAGTTTGAATTTTAGTGGCGTCACTTGAACCGTTCTTGAGTTATACCCCTTCATAAATGGAAAAATTGCAAAATTTTTATTTTCTAAATATCAAGTAATTTTTAGAATTGGAGCTATCACTCTTTGTCCATGATTATAGTTGAATCAACTACAATCAATGCTTTATGCAATGCAATGTTTAATTTTGACTTCCACTGATAAAACACAGATCAAGTTGAATTTTGGTAGTGTCACTTTAACCATTATTGAGTTATGCCCCTTTATAAATCGAAAGATTGCAAAATTTTTAGTTTCCATTCTGTAACTTAAGTTTACCCCAACCAAACATTATGAAACCTATACACAATATTCATTACCACAAAACTAAGATCAAGTACAAATTTTTTTGCTTCCGTTTTCTAACTTTAGTTTGCCTCAACCAAATGTTATGAAACTTATACACAATGCTTATTACTACATAATACAGATTAAGTACGAAATTTGGTGGCGACACTTTTACCAATCTTGAGTAATGTCCCATTATAAACATAAAAATTGCTGAATTTTTCGTTTCCGTTCTCTAACTTAAGTTTGCCTCAACCAAATGTTATAAAACTTATACACAACCGTTCTAGAGTTATGCGTGTTAACAAATAGAAAAATTGCTGAATTTTTAGTTTCTGTTCTCTACTTAACTTAGCCTCAACGAAATGTTATGAGACTTACAGACAATGCTTATTACCACAAAACTCAGATCAAGTTCAAATTTGGGTAGCGTCACTTTTACCATTCTTCAGTTATGTCCCTTTATAACTATATGATATACAAGCGGGGGCATCATCTCTGTCCACATGTGGACACTATCCACATTTATTTTTTTTTATATGCTGAATCTAACCATGGAATTAGATTTTGGATATTGGACTATTAAGAAGATTAAATGTCCCATTTCAAATTTTTAAGTTATCTGACCACATTTATTCTGTGTCAGAAATCTATAATGTGTCAAATATTTAATCACTATCCAAATTCAGAGCTGTATCAAGCTTGAATATTGTGTCCATACTTGCACCAACTGTTCAGAGTTCGACCTCTGCAGTCGTAGATTCCAGCTGCTGCAGGCGGAGCGCATTTTTATACGACCGCAAAAATTGAAAATTTTTTGGTCGTATATTGGTATGACGTTGGCGTCGTCGTCGTCGTCGTCGTCGTCGTCGTCGTCTGGCGTCGTCCGGCGTCGTCCGAAGACACATTGGTTTTCGCACTCTAACTTTAGTTTAAGTGAATGGATCTCCATGAAATTTTACCATAAGGTTCAATACCACGAAAGGAAGGTGGGGATTGATTTTGGGGGTTATGGTACCAACAGTTAAGGAGTTAGGGGCCAAAAAGGGGCCAAAAATAAGCATTTTTGTAACTTCCAGACAATAACTTGTGTGTAAGTGTATGGATCTCTCTGACATTGTACCACAAGGTTCCATATCATAAAGGGAAGGCTGTAATTGATTTTGGGGGTAATTGCCTCAAAATGTTAGGAATTAGGGGCCAAAAAAGGGACAAAAAACAAGCATTTTTCTAGTTTCATGACAATAACTTGTGTGTAAGTGTTTGGATATTTCTGAAATTGTACTACAAGGTTCCATATCACAAAGGGAAGGCTGTAATTGATTTTGGGGGTAATTGCCTCAAAATGTTAGGAATTAGGGGCCAAAAAAGGGACAAAAAACAAGCATTTTTCTAGTTTCATGACAATAACTTGTGTGTAAGTGTTTGGATATTTCTGAAATTGTACTACAAGGTTCCATATCACAAAGGGAAAGCTGGAATTGAGTTTGGGGGTAATTGCCCGAAACGTTTAGGAATTGGGGGCCAAAAAGGGGCCAAAAATAAGCATTTTTCTAGTTTCCAGACAATAACTTGTGTTCAAGTGTATGGATCTCTCTGAAATTGTACTGCAAGGTCCCATACCACAAAGGGAAGGCTG